CTCAATATATAATCACCGCTCCTCGTGGAACTCGTCCCTAGAAGGGGGGGTAATGTCACGGACATACATATAATTACCTATATGAATAGATAAAAGTATGTAAAAGTAGATAAAAGTAGGTTAATTGTATAATATCTTCTAGAGAAGCTTCTTAGAAGCTTCATAGACTCTGCTTTGACTTTATAGGAGTCTATAGTTGACTTTTAGGTTAGAAACTTGGTCAACAAGTTAGCCATGTGCCACACATGTTGGAAGCTTAAAGAACAAGCTAACTACGTCGTCCATCCATAGAAAACTTGCCTTGCAAGCAAAGGCATGTGGCCTAGAAAGTCAACATATATTGGAGGTCTTATAGAACATCGCCACGTGGCTTCTAGTTAGATAGTATATATAGAGGCAAGAGTGAAGCCCTCTTCACTCTTGTCAACTCCTTTCTTGCTTCTAGTCTAGTTTCAAGGGTCTCTAGTTTTCTTGTATTTTGGCAATAGCCATTCCAGTTTCTTTCTTAATATACATATTTCTATTTTGTCCTATTTCTTTTTGAGAAAAGTCTCACTTACTCTTTAGCTTTCATTGAGTTCTTGTCCTTGACACTAGTGCATTTGTGAATCCAAAAGATATGACATTCTATTCAAAATATAATTTTCTATTTATCTCTTTTTTTAATACATACAAGATTATATGCCCCATATAAATCTATTTTGTATAAATCTTTGCTTAATTTAGTTAATTAAGAAGTCTTAAAATCAAGAATAGAGGATTTTTTTTATAGTAATCTTGTTGAGTCCTTGATAGTCCATGCACATTTATTGAGATCTATCTTTTTTCTTCATAAATAAGATAGAAGACTTAATTGGAGATTTAGAATAGCATATGAAGTTCTTAGCCAAATTTTTATGAATATATTCCTTAAACAAAACTAATTTATTCTATGATAGGCTATAGATTGGTTCAAATGGTGGTTAAGCTCATTCTTGAAGATCAATAGAACAGTCATAAGAATAATGCTTTGAAAAAATATTTACATTTTTTTTTTAAAAGATATCTTAATAATCTTGATATTGGCTTGGAATGCTACTTAAAATCTTTTTTCCGTCAAAAATAGGTGTGGTATATATAACAAAAGTTGAACCTTTTTTTGCAGCATGTATAAAAGTTCTTGCACTCAGAAATAATGATTTGGATGCAATGATCTTATGGATTTTTACTTGCCTAGTAGAACCTTGAACTAAACTTTGGAAAAAATCAAGATCCCAAAAAATTTAATCTATCTAAGAATTATACCTATCTAATCATGATAATCTTAAAATAATTAGATTAAAATAAAATTTAATGACATTAAATATTATTAAACTATTATAAATACTAGTTGCTACTTTTATAGGAATAATTTTATGTGTAGTATTTCTAAAAGATAATGAACGACCATCTATTATTTCTAGATGTATAGGTTTGATTTTCTTAATTAAAGATATATCTTATTTTTTGACAAAGTCTTTATTTATAGAACATGATAAGATTCTAAAATCTAATAAGGTTAAGACTTTGTGATTTTATGGTCCTAAAAATACTTTTATTTTAAAATAAAGTGAGGAATTTAAATAGAGAATAGGATATTTATTAACAATTGTGTAAGATTCTAACCACATGGTCTTTATTATAGTTGGAAAAACTTATTTTTTGATACATCATCTTCTTTGGCAACCATACTCTTTATTTTATGATTGTGTTGTTTTTTTTGATAATATTGAATAGTATGCTTGATAATATAGCTACAAACCTTCTTGACAACTACAAGTCTTGTTTTTGTTTAATAAGAGATTTAAAATGTATCTTATCAATTTGTATTGATTTTGGCCTTAATGAATAAGTTTCAAAAAACTTAGGAGCTGTTGTTAGTACTTGATTTATTCCTCTCCAACCAAATCTTTATTCTTAATGCCCTTCAAATATTTGATTGTCATATGCAATGGCTTGAGCAATAAATTGTTCCAAAGATTTTATTTTTGATATTGTTAATAACAAAATTTTGACATTTTACTTCAATCTATATCAAAATCAATTAATAAAGGCTTTATTATTCCAATCCATGTTGTATGCAAGGTTTTGGAATTAAATAGCATATATAGTGGCTAATTATTATTCTTATCATAAAAATAAGAGCTTGGTCTCTACTACTCTTTCTCAATTATTCTCTTTGAATGTGGCGATAAACATTTCTAGGAATGAATTGAAATCATAAAGGAGTTGTAAATCTTTTTTCATCAAAGGTGTAAAGCAAAAGAAAGCACTTCCAAATAAAAATGAGTCTATAAATCCAACTTGAATAAATCCATTAAGGTATTAGAAGAAATGCAACCTTAGATAGAGCTTGATTTATTGCAAAAATCCGTGAAATTTTGATCTTATTCCATCAAACTTTTCGAGCATACTAATCCTTGACTTTATTGCACTTATAGAAACAAAACTTTCTAGACTTGGTTGTGAGGTCAATTTACTTATTTTTTTCAACTATACAACTTCTTATTGTAGACTTTGAACTTCTTTTATAGATATAGGATTAATGTTTCTTTGGTTGGCACTAGTGATGTGTAAAATTTTCATGCTAAGAATATTGACAAATTTGTGAAGATGTATAATATTTGTAAATATATTCTCACTTCTGCTAAGTATGACATTTATAATTTTTCCTTCTATTTTAAATAATTTAATAAATCTAAAAAATTAAATTAGAAGAAGGTAATTTACAATCTCTAATATAAAATGAAAATTTCCATAAAGAAAGATAATCTGCTCTTTTTAAGGAAAAAATTAGTATTAAAAAATCAAATTGTTTATTTATAGGTGGATAATCTGCAACCTTTAATATACAATAGTAGAAGTGAGATATTCCACTCACTTCTAAAAAAATAAGAATAATGAGTTAGAATTCTTGCTAAACTATCAAGGATATGAATCTCAAATAAAGAAATCTTAAATACACTCTTATATCACTCAAAAGAATTAGAAAGTCATTCAAAGATGATATAGTATTAAATTAGAATGGTTATTGCCAAAGATAAAAAGACTAGAAAGTCTTGAAACAAGACTAAAGACTAGAAAGGCATTGATAAGAGTGAAGAAGGCTTTATTTTTGCTTCCATACATATTCTTAACTAAGAGCTATGTGGCAATGTCCTACAAGACCTCCAAAATGTATTAACTTTGCAAGATATGTATCTTAACTTGCAAGGTAAGTTTTCTATATGTGGACCACATAATTAGCTTATTTTTGAAGCTACCAACATGAGGTTAACTTATTGACCAAGTTTCTAACCTATCAATCAACTACAAACCTATGTAAAGTGAAAATAACATCCATTAAGCTTCTACGAAGCTTTTTCTAAAAAATATTATGAAATAATTCTACTTTTATCTATTTTTACTTAATCATATAAGTAAATATTAGAATGAATATATATGTCCATGATACACATCTATTCTCAATTTTATTGATAGTTGTATCTATAATCTTTTTCTTTTATAGATAACTCAAACAAATTCAAAAAGTTAAATTAGAAGAAGGTAATCTGCAACCTTTAATATCAAATAAAAAATTCCATAAAAAAAAATTACTTTTTTTAAGAAAAAAATCAATATTAAAAAACTAAACGGTTTGTTTATAGGTACAATTTTTTAAATACAATAATAAAAGTCGGATAAACTACTCATTTCTAAAACAAGACAAGAATAATAAGTTAACACTTTTATCAAATTATCAAGAATATGAACCTCAAAGAAAGAGAATCTCAATACATTCTTGTACTACTTGAAAAGACTAGGAAATCACTCAAAGATGGTAATATATTGAACTAGAATGGCTATTGCTAAAGACAAGTAGATTAAAAAGTCTAAAAATAGGACAAAGAACTAAAAAGGCTTTGACATGAGTAAAGCAAGACTTCACTCTTACCTCCACATATACTATCTAACTAAGAGTTATGTCACGATGTTCTATAAGTCCTCCAATGTGTATTGACTTTGCTAGACATATGTCTTACAAAGTAAGTTTTCTATATGTGTGCCATATAATAAGCTTGTTTCATAAGCTACCAGTATATATAGCTTGTGGTTAACTTGTTGACAAAATTTCTAACCTACCTATTAACTACAAACACATGTAAAGTCAAAACCATATCTATGATGCTTCTAAGAAGCTTTTCTAGAAGATATTATGAAATTAATCTATATTTACTTATTTCTACTTAATCATATAAGTAATTATTAGAATAAATATGTATGTTTGTGACATTTATACAAAAATGACTATATTAAATTTCTTCTTTACAAAAATTTAATAACATATGTTGATATTTAATATATATTTTCATAATGAAAATAATATAAAAGACTTAAATATATATTAAAAAAATAAAAATAAAAAATCTTAATTTTAATATACATATTATTTTTTAAAATTAAAATGTAATTTGAACATTTGTAATCTTTAAAGAAAAAAATCCATTAATGATCATACCATCTATATTGTAGAAAATTGTATAATTTTTTACAAAAATACTTTGTTTAAATTTATTTGATACATAAAATTAATGGAGATATATATATATATATATATATATAGTGATTCCTTTGTAATTTAATAAGCTTGGTAGACAAAGAAATAAAGATATTATTCCTCTAGTTATAATAAAAGCAAACCCACAATGGTTCCATGAAATGTTATGAATGTTGAATTTTTTTGCAAAATGCCGTTACTCTCCAACACCCAAAAAGGAATACCAGAAAGAACATAACTAGACAGACAGAGCGAAATTCGTGATCAAGGGCGATTGTGCTTCACAATTGCCCCGAGAGCACAAAGAATTGCGTGAATGCCCCGTAAGAGGAAATGGTAATCAATGAATGAACCTGCCCAAATCTTCATGCGATCCCGACGTTCGCGAAACCCAAGCCAGGGGGGGGGGGACTGGCCTTCCCTCCCCTTCCCTTCCCGTCGCGACTCTTGCCTTCTTGGCTGCCCCTCCCTCTCCCCGTCTTTGAATCAGTGCTCCTCGGAGCTCCAGTCTCCTGCTAACCCTAGGCTCTCGCGTCCGCTCCCTCCCTCCCCTGCTACGCCGCGGCCTGTTGGTTCGCGCGTTGCATGGGAATTGTCGATGCCGCTGCTCTTGTTTTGATCTTGTCGTAAGGGTATTTGAGCCTCTGTGTATGCGAGGGGCATATGGGTTTTGTGGAGTCCGATTTTTCTGATCATTTCAGCGGGAGTTAGGAGGGCGGGAAGTCTGGCGGACCAGGACGGGTCGGCGGCCATGGACTCCGATCAGGGCAAGCTGTTCATCGGCGGCATCTCTTGGGAGACGACGGAGGAGAAGCTGCGCGATTACTTCAAGAGCTATGGCGAGGTGGCGGAGACGGTGATCATGAAGGACCGCGCGACGGGGCGCGCGCGGGGGTTCGGGTTCGTGATATTCGCGGACCCGAGCGTGGCCGATCGGGTGGCCGGCGAGAAGCACACCATCGACGGAAGAACGGTAAGCGCTCTGTCTTGGACTCGGGGAGGGGAGGGGAGGGCCGGTGGCGTGGTGAGGTCAGTGCGGTAGGGCGCGAGGGTGGGAGGGAGGGAGGGGGGCGGTAGGTGTCGGGCGAAGGGGGATCGAGGTGGAGTTGAATGCATGGGAGGGGGGTGGCATGCGGGAGTGCGTGTGGTGATGGTGGTTGGTGGCATGAGGTTGTGTGGCAGTTGTATAACTTTGTGTAGCGTGTCTTTGTTAAATATTTTTTTTTCCCATTCTAGGTGGAAGCGAAAAAAGCTGTGCCGAGAGACGAACAGCAGAGTATACCTAGGAGCAACAGCGTGGGTGGCCAAGGGCCTGCAACATCCCACACTAGGACAAAGAAGATATTTGTGGGGGGCTTAGCCTCGACAGTTACAGAGGATGACTTCAAAAAGTATTTCGAGCAGTTTGGTACTATTACAGACGTGGTTGTTATGTATGACCACAATACGCAAAGGCCTCGGGGGTTTGGCTTCATCACTTTTGATTCTGAGGATGCAGTTGAGAACGTGATCCAGAAGTCGTTCCACGAGCTGAACGACAAGATGGTGGAGGTGAAGAAGGCGATTCCGAAGGAGCTGTCGGCGGGGTCGGGGCGGGCTGGCGGGGGGTTCGGCGGAGGCGGTCGCGGCGGGGGCAACTACGGATCGGGGTACAGCCAGGGAGGATACGGGGGTGGGAGTCCGGGAGGAGGGAGCGGATACGGGGGGCGCGGGGACAGCCGGTACGGGCCGACGCCGGTGGGGCGAGGCG